TGTAGCGAAATATGTTTTATTTTTCACATTTGATGACGTATCCAACTCACATTTAACGCTTTGAAAATAATTGAACACTTTAAAAATTGTTTCACGTGCCTGACTCTTGATGACTGTTTTTTTGTTAGGCGATTAATTTTTTTGAGAAACAACACAAATTATTCAGACAATACCGAACGCCAACAGCATTGGAGGACAAGTACTGATACGCCTCTGAAGAGAGCATTTCTATGTCTTGTAAGAGCTGTACTGGGGGTTACATTAAAAATGAATTTGTGCGCATAGGGGCGGGCTCGCCATCACGTTTGGCGCTTGCTATACCTGATTCAAATATTTTGGCAATTACTACAAGAATGACGTTAAAATGGAAAGTTTTTTAATGATGAAAGGCTATCTCAGGACCAAGGTTCTTGGTACTACAGGGAAATTGAAAGACTTTTGGTTTTAACGTTTCTTTTTAATCTACACTTTTTGCTGGTATCAGGTGTCTGCCTTTTTTCGTTTCCGCGTCTGATATTCTTCAGGGTGTCGGTATGATACATGTTTTCGCAAAGCATCTCTACTTCTAGAGACATGAGCGCAAGACTGACAGGCATGAAAAGCTTCCTCATGGGTCTCCATATGAACTCGAAGATTGTACTGGTTACTGAGGTATTTTCCACATAGAAAGCACTTGCAAGTCTCTGGAGAGTCTCTTGGCACAAATTTCTTCATCAGCGCGTATGGTTCGTCTTCAAATTTCATGGGAATGGACTCATTTATCACTGTAATCAAATGAAAATATACTTTGTCTGTGAAGATCTGCACATTTTGACAAATCCAGGGACAAATAAATATAAAAATAACTTCAAACAATAATGATTCCCCACTCTACAGATACAGAACTAAGTCACAGGCAACAGCTAGTCTTCACTATTTCTGAATATTATTCCATAGGAGGTCTCGTGGAACACATCTGATTCGACTCTAATTGTGCAGACGAATTTACTTCCGATCTGGACATTAAAAAAAGTAATTTCATCAGATTTTTCAAAAGGAAAAAATTCGGCACTGCTCAACGTCACCAGTCACCATGAAGAGTTGTACTTTTTTGTTTAGCATTAACATTGTTTCTTATTTATAATTTGGAATTTACAGCTCACTGCGAACTATATGTCTCTGACCTTCTTCATAGACGTGCCATTGCTTTGTTGGAATTCATCAATAGAAAGAATCAATGTTTTTTGAGTCGAAATTTACTAATATATCAGAGAAAACTATAAAAACAATCAACGGTTAATGCAAGTATGGAACAGTGAATATATACAATACAATATTCATTTCAACAAAAAGTGAAAAAATTCTACTTTTCTCACAAAACATAATTTTCATTCAATATTTAGAAGAAACTTACAGTACATGCCTCAGCTGATGACGAACAATGGGGCAGGGATAGACTTTCCCAACTAAATTACCACTGGATTACTATAAGTTGTTATAAAAAACAGTGTTAGAGAAGGAACTTTTCAATAGTAGATTTAAATTTTGAAAGACTCGGAGACTCATACTAGATTACAAAAACTATTGACTGACCAACAAGAAAATGATTACTCATCCTTATCAAAACTAAACAAGGGAACTGAGATTAAACAAAGCTATTATTCTTACTTACGCGGCATAGCCTTATCGTCAAAACAAGCCTGTGTTTTATAAGCTTCGTTAGGATTAAAATCTGGAATGGGCAGTCTGTTATCAACTTGTCTTTTTATATTGATACTTTCAGTTGTATTGCGGTCCCTGAAGTTTTGCAAATTATCACAAATTTTTAATTTTTTTTCATTCACCATTGTTTCAGTAACGCGGTCAATGTTCGTTGACGAGTCATTTCGTATATGTCTGTCGTCGGGTATCTGCAAAACAAAAGTACAGTATTAAAATAGTGTTTTACATACAATGTTATTTGAAAACAACCGAGGTTAGAGTATTATTACACAGAAGTCCAATCGTGACATCACATCTTTTTGCGAACGAACAATGAGATTATTCGAATGTGGTATATATACGAGACAGCTACACGTCAGTTTCAATACAACGCAAATTAGTTCGAAAGCTAAGAAAACAACAGTGGAATGAGTGCAATAATTACCTACAAGGTATAATTGTAGTATAGTGTTGTGGTTGTTAATTATTAAATAAATTTGTTACATTTGAATAACTGTACTATTTATTTATCTATTGACAACCCATGCATAGACATAACATTGGTTACTGAGGATAGTTAAAAAAACTGATGTTGAAGTATCTTTGATTTTACCTTCATATCACACAGTCCCTGAATCCTTAGCATTTTGGCAACAGACAACAAACTTGGAAGTTGTTCTTGAGATACCACACACTGACCTCTGTACACAAAAGACAAGATGGCCTTTACTTCTTCGAAACTCACATTGTGTAAAATCACGACTGGATGTGATGATTTAATCTCCTGAAAAAAATATTGGGTTCTTGCATTAAAATGAAATATTGTTAACGTGAAACGCCAGAATATGATTGAACATAAAAAAATGAAATAGACAAAATAAAATATTCACTACTGCGATTTAATCTAAACTTTTAGTCTTCAAACGAATTTTTAATAGTGAAAGTTTTTTTGACTATTGAGGAAGATAACAATTTTATAACAGTTTCTTGTTGGATAAGTAAGCAATTGTTTCATAAGTCACACCTTCGAAACATTAACAGTTGACAGGACTCATAACTCACCACCTTCGAGACCAATCACAGATGAGCAAATTCCGAACTTTACAGTCTTCAATCGCAAGTAAGTTTTAAGAATTTACCTAATTCAAAATATTCTCAAACGTCAAATTTAATCATTGAATAACTGACAAATATTACTGGAGTTTTTTTCCAACACCAAACCGTTATTTTCAACACCTCGATACGTGCGTTTCAATCACTAAATGATCATCTTCAAGAGGATGATAAAAAACTGTTTTGATCTTCCTTACATGATATTGATACTGTTTTAATCATAGTACCTATAAGTGAAATATTCCATCGTGACATTCGCCAGAAAAGTTCTCTTTTTCCATCATATCACAGTAGTGATCATACACTATGAAGCTGTAGGAAAAACAAGAAGTTTGATTTGCAATCTAGCAGTAGAGAAAAATTTGTAGGATAAAGTTATAGGAATTGAATTATTGACATATTTTGAAACTAAAATTTGACTGTGAGTAAAATGTTTTGAAATATGTTAAAACGATCATTCTGTTCTTCTTTGGTTTTGCGCAACTAAAACGATTCTTTTTTGGATTGGATCATCACGTCTGATGAAAAGTACGCATCCTCTACGACAAGAGGAGACCTTTAGGACAGTGCTTGGACACCGATGAGTCACCCAGGCACTTTCGAAAGACGAAAACCCACAAAAGAAAACCATGGTTACTGTACGGTGAAATCGAGAAAATATGCCAAAAATTGCAGCAGCCGGCACTCATCAACAGAAGAGGTCCGATCTTGCTCCACGACAACGTCCATCCGCACGTTTCACAAATCAACGTCCGAAAATTATACGAATTGAGCGTCGAAGTTCTGCCTTATCCACCATACTTTCCAGAACTCTCTCTAATCGACTACCATCTTTTCAAGCACTTCGACTATCATTTTTCATGATGATCGATCTTCTACCACGTAGTAACGTCTACCTTCGCCAAAATCAGGATCAAGCAAAATCGGTCTTCGTTGACTTCATCGAATTCCGAGCACACAATTTTTATGCCCACGTAATTAATCGACTATTGAGTTCAATAAGTATTCAACTGCCATATTATAGTTTAAAGTAGACTTTTAAAAACGGTCAAAACTTTTGAAACAACCTAATTATTGGTTATTCCTTTTTGAATAAAATTGCAAACTGCGAATTATTCCAACAAAATTCCCAATAACATTGCAAAATTAGGTATATTCGGAGAAATGCTGTCCACAGTCTAGATTTCAAAAATCAACCGGAATTGAAATGAGGATGGAGATATTTCCATCAGATAAAGCGAACATTTTTTGTTAACACTGCCAATTTTCAAAATTGTGCTATTTTCGGTTCCTTAGAAATAGCGTTTCTTTGCCGTGATGAGTACCCTATATACAAAAAAAACAGTGAATCACACATTTCCAAAAAACCTTCCTGCGAAGGATCCAACTAAAATATTTGTAAACCCAACCACTTTCACGCAACAATAAAATTCCCTCAATGGAATGGTGATGAACCTTTTGAATAACTTTAAAAATAAACTCTCGTTCATGTCGTCCTATTTATAACATCTCAAAGCAGATGAATTCGAAATTCCGTGAAATCCGTTTACTTTTATTTTACCTGGAATAATTGGAGAAAATAAACACTGCACATGGCCAGTATAATTTTGTGAGCTTTCACTTGCCGGGATCCCACAGATAAGGTAACGTCTGTCAAAACATCACTTTCTAGAAAACAAGGCAAATTGTGTATCAACGTCGTCTCGTGATAATGCCATCTTAAAACAAATTGTTGGTCGGACATAACTATACGGTCAGTGTGTGATAAGAAAAAAAACATACTAGCCAAGTGGCCCAGAATTGTCCAGCTGGCTATTTTTAAGTTTCCTGGAGAAAGGAACAGGTGCCAGAAAATGTGTAAGCATGTATTAATTTGTTTCTCCAAAGATAGCATAAAAATAAACGTGGCAAAAAGTCAAGTGAGCAGTTAACAATAGTCTTGCGTCACCCGAATGACGCAATCAGTTTTCACTTCAATATTTGTTTCGTTGTCTTTGGATATTTTCTTTATTCATAATAAAATGAAATACAATTAAAAATCCAACACTGTACTTCATCCTCACACTAGAACAGTTTTCACATACCTGAAAACTTTTCTCGACACGCGTGTTTCACCAACTAAGTACTCAGTCTTCATTACCTTATTTATGAAATAAATGCGAAAAAAAGGAGGTATATTGGTTTTACTGAAACTTTTTTCTTGTCTTTTGGAAATTCAAAGATGCCATACCACAATTTTCACCTGAATTCAATTCGATTAGCGATATTTTATGTTAGTACACTCGTCTCAAACATATATATGTTCTCAGTTTCACTGTTTAGTATGTGCAGTTTGTTGCTGAGAGGCAAACATGTTAGAAGTATTTTACTATCGAAAAAAAATGGATCAAAGAACTTGCATCAAATTTTGTGTGGAAAATGGAGTGAAGTGCTCAAAAACACTATATTGACAGTGGTATACGCCGGTGATTATACCCTGAATCAGAAAAATGTTCAAAAGTGGTATAAAATTTTCACAGAAGATGTTGAGAAAATGTTGAGAAAGTGAAGAAAATAGTTATGGAGAATCGTTGAATCACTATTGCATTTTTTTCGGAAATATTGGGCAGCGAAGTGCGTTCCAAAATTGCTGAATTTTGACCAAAAAAACCGTCGCATGATTATCGCTCAGAAATTGTTAAATGATGTCAACGGTGATCTAGATTTGCTTAAAAAAGGCATAACTGGTGGCGAATCATGGAATCAATAACCAAAATCCAATCGTCCCAATGGAAGAGCCAAGACCAAAAAAGCACGCCAAGTTCGATCAAATGTCAAGGTTTTGCTCAGTTTTTTCTTCGATTACCGTAGCGTAATGCATCAGGAGTATTATTATTATCAATCAGGAGTATTATCTTGAAGTTATGCGCCGCTTGAGATAAGCATTACAAAGAAAAGTTCTGGTATTGTGTATAAACAATTAATGGCTCCTGCATCATAATAATCAACCTGCTCACTCGTCTTTGCTTGTTCGTAATTTTTTGGCCAAAAACAACACTGTAATATCATGATTTTGCAACCATATTCACCAAATTTGGCCCCCTGTGACTCTTTCCTATTCACAAGATTGGGACGACGTTTTGCGACGATTGAGAAAATAAAAACCGAATCACCGAGACCTCAGGGACATACCAAAAAGGCATAACAGAACTACAAGTGTATTATATCTGAGGAGGACTATTTTGAACACAAAATAAAAATTGATGATTTTGTGGTAGTGGGTTTTACAAAATGGCCTTCTCAACTTCCGGTCTCTTTCCATTATACCGGAAGTTGCGGACAACTTCCTTATTTCAAATGGAACACCCTATATTTTATTACATTTTTTATTCGAAGTATTTTAAAATTGAAACACAGACAAACCTGCCGTGACATCTTTAGAAAAATCGTCATTTTATAAAGTGAGAATCACGACTATCCTCTCCACGCAGTGATGATGTAATTTATACATATATAACAAATATTAGTATTGACAGAAAAACATCATAAAGAAATTTCTAATAAATGAGGAACCATATTACCAGAGCAGTGATTCCCAAAGTGGTTCAGGTGGATCCCCAGGGGTCCACGAGAGATTCGACTGAGTCTACATTGGCGTGGCCAATAAATGGGGGTTCACAATTCGTAAGCGGGGGTCCACGAAAGTTTATCTAGCTTTGATATTGAAGAACTAAAATGTTGGCTCGACTTAACCTATCAATGTGGCAGATAATACTTTAAGATGCTCGGCGACTATCACATGTTGTTCAAACGTGCAGAAAGAACGAAATACAACTGTGAGTAAATGTCAAAAAATAAAGTTGGATGGAATAACTTTTTGTATTGGCCAACTTCACTTTTTTGACATTCACTCTTAGCACAATTAATTAATTAACCAATTATCACTTTTCATTCGAAAACTTTCATAGTGAGATCTAATCTTCATAATTTTTGTCAAGTTTTGGAAATATAGTAGAAATGTAGCTACAGGAGATCCACCGGAACCAGCAAAATTTAAAAAGTGGTCTATGATAAAAAAAGTTTGGGAACCTCTGTATTAGAGGAATATCTCAGCTAGAGCTAAGAGGCATATCTTCATTGACACTATCCCACTTTTATATGTCTAACGTATAACGTATTTTTATGAAATAAAGATTATTATTATTATTATTGATAAAAAGATCACTATAAAACCCACATTAATCTTGTATTATTTGTATTATCAAAAAGCATACTTTTGTAATACAATATATGTAACAAAGCTTGATATGCAACACCAATACCAAAATATTCAATTGCAAAGTATTCTATAATGTATGAGGAAAAATGTATTATCATTTACCGTATTTCTACAGATATTATTGCTGCCTGGGGGAATATTGTTGTTATATTACATTGTGACCTTTATATATTTTGCTAACTATTTTATTGAAGTCATCAGAGTAATGTAGGTGTGTGTATTACATTATTTATTTATGTTTGCCACTGTGTTCATATAATCAATTAATTTCTTACAACTTTTTTCGTCAAGGTTTTCAAAATGTTCCTCGCATAACCTATATATCTACTTTGAGGACAAATACGTCCTTTTAAATGTTATTTTTTTGTGAAAATATGGAAACTTTCATCAATTTTGAAATAGAGAATTACAATGCAGGAACTGCAATGGCTTTGAGACAAAACCATCTTCACCATTAATAAATATAGTATATTTTTAGATGAAAAAAAAGTACAGAATACATTAATATCTAGAATATTTTTTATTTTAAATGCGGAGATGTTTGACATAACTAACAAAGTAAGCTTATAATGAAAATAGGGTTTAGCGACATAGAGTAGCATCAATTTGTGTAAGAGATGGAGCTATCATCTTCAGCTTTCGTCGATACATGGGATCCTCTGCGATTGGGTTCTTTTCCAGATAAACTGTAGCCAACTTTTTGAGAGCAGACAGATTTTCAACAGTGGCCCAACTAGATACTTCATTATTGTTCATCTGGAAAGTAGAAAAATATTCGAGAACAACTGAATTTTTCAAGAACCTATTCACGTTTTTGTCATTGTAATAAGTACACAGAATTATGTGTAAAAAGGCTGTCAAGATTAATGTAATTTATAATGAGTAGTAACAATGGACTCATACAGGCTAATTTAGTTTTTTATTGAAAATTATCTATTATAAAAGTAAATCATCTCCCAAATATCCCACAAAATTTTCCGGTTTTTATGTCAATTAACAACTGAGCAAGAGCAATTGAAAATGTGATATCGCCCGCGGTACATCCTGACGTCACACCAAGCAATGAGCTTCGAGCGCTGGCAACCAGCCCTGTAGTTGGAGATTATGAATCGCTGCCATCGTCGGATTTTGTTTCATTTGCTGACTGGTTTGAAAACACCACGTGTTACATATTCACGCAGTTGATACACTGCGGTAAACAACACACAACTTGCTCTCTACGGCTTCAGTACACGTATGTATTTCGCTTATCCGCCAGCACTGGCGGCTAATATGACGTCAAGTTTGACCACGCCCCGTTACGGTGAACGCCACATTCAACTATTAATTTGAAGGGGAAGATAAAGAGTGAAAATTCTGATTTTTTTCAGATGTACTATTTGAAGTGTACACTTTCAAATGATGAAATAAAAAAAATTTGGTAAATGAGCCCATTGGCAAAATCATTACAAACCATATAACTACATGGAACACCAACACTAGTTTTCATGTAAAGCAATAAAAAACTAATTTCATTACATTCATTTAAAAAAATATCATATCTGTTTCTTCATCAGAACTGACTGGAATGGTATCTTTACGCTTTATCAACATACCTTCTCACATTTGAGTCTCTGTGTAAAGATCTCATAAACAGTGAGAGATAGAAAGTTCAGTAAATTTTGGCAAAATTACCAAATACAAGAAGATACAAAAAAATCAATTTTATTTTGTAACTCAAGTTTTTGGCAGAAACAATAATTCTGGTCTAACTTTGCCACTGATACCTTTCATAAGCTTCCAAAATATACCTTCTTCAATATTCATTTCTAAATTAAATGTCTTATTGTTTTCTAGTGAGGGAATAGTATAGGTCATCACAAGTTTTAGTACAAAGGTGGTCCCAGAAGTACCATCCTGACTTACAGATGGCAGTAGTTGTTTGTAAGATATCACTGTATTACGAAGTACACAATCTTTGAAGCATATGTTTCAAGTTTCAAGACGCTGCGTTGTTTAGTATATGTTTGGCAGCCATCAATAGCGAACGTTTGCGGTGAATTTGTGAAAATAGAGAAAATTGATCATCGTTATGTGGTACAATACTTTTATTTAAAAGACCTCGGTCCAATCAATATAAAAGCTGAACTAGATTCTACCCTGGGTGAGTCTGCTCCTTCGTTTACAACAGTAAAATATTGGGTAGCAGAGTTTAAACGAGGCCGTATGAGCTGCAGTGGTCAACCAAATGAAATGACGATTCCAGTGGGCGAGCTAGCAGACTTAATGGGCATTTCTAAAAGTACAGTACATCATATTTTATCTGAAAATGTGTACTTGAGAAAGCTGTGTGCAAGATGGTTGCCGCGTTTGCTCACACTCGCACAAAAACAGTGTCGTGGAGATGTTTCAATTGAGTGTTTAGCGAAGTTTCACAGCAACAAAGCAGAATACTTGCATGGTTTCAAAACCATGTATGAAACATAGGTCCATCACTTTACACCCGAGACAAAAGAACAATCAAAACAATGGAATCAACAGGGAGAACCGGCTCCAAAAAAGGGGAAGATCATGGAATCATCTTTTTGGATGTGCGTAGGATAATTTTCAATTGCTACCTCATGCACGCTATTCGCTAGATTCAGCTCCCTCGGATTATTTTCCGTTTCCAAACTTGAAAAAATGGCTCAGTGTCAAAGATTTTCAAACGATGAAGAAGTGATCTGTGTGTTCTGTTTAAATCTGTTTTTCCTTTAATCAGCTGCCGCCCCCATACGAACGACAACTCTCAGAAGTTGAGAAACTTGTGCGAGCTAAGGACTAACGAGGTCTTACCTTTTAACGTGTGATTCCTAACACGGTTGCAGAATCATTCCAGCTTCAACCAGATAAATTCTCTCGAGAAAAATATCTGGTCGAGATGTCAGCAGTTAATGGCTATTTTGAGGAGCAAGGCAGTTCTTATTATAAAAACAGTTTTGAACTAATTGAACATCGCTGGGAAAAGTGTATAGAGCTGCAAGAAGATTATGTTGTAAAATAATTTTTTTTACAACATTTTTGTGTTTTTTTTTTGGGCCAGTTATTCCTGGGACCAAGCTTGTATATACCTCTACTGTAAATAATTTATATTATTGGTGTAACATTTTTCTTTGAAATTATTTTCTAACATCATCAGCCATATCCTTTAGTATATAGACAGTAAAAATAAGTAGTCATCTGGCATGTATGCAACAGACTCATCAAGTCCCACAAACCAAACTGTCTTCTCTCGAAGTATGTTTCAACAACCAAGTTGGCTTTATCGGGAGATGAACTATACTGTGGAGCTCTTCTCCTTGGAGCTCATTCCAAAACCGCAATGAGAAGAGTGTTGCAGTTTGGTGTGTGGAAGCAGTGTTAGTTTTGGACTAATCCAACTGTTGATAAGTGGCATATCACTACTGTTTACTTATAATAACCTTTTTTTCTGCTTGAGTCGGCCGTTACTTGATGAAGATTCAAAGTAATTCCACAAACTACTTGCACAAACTTTATTTACAAAAAACCACACGTTTTGCTACCACACTAGCTTTTTCGTAGTGAATAACATACTTAAAATATGTTATTCACTATAGTTCCAGTGTAGTTAGTGAAAAGATAAACTTACCCAAAATTCTGTGAGTTCTTCTAATTCGGAAATATTTTCAATTGTTTTTATTTTATTTTGTGCAATATCCAGGGTTTCAAGCTTTTTGTTTTCAGAGAGATTCTCTATTCTTGTGATTCCATTCTCCGACAAATACAGTTCATTTAACTCCTTCAAGTTTTCCAAATTCTCAATGGCTGTTAACCTGTTACTCTGTAAACTTAAACATGTTAACTTGACTAGTGAATCCAAGTTATCAATTTTTGTGATTTTGTTTTTTCCTAGATATAAGTACTGAAGAGATGTTAAACCATCCAAATTCTCAATTTCCTGAAACTCACTCAATAAGCATTGGTGAATAATCAAAATCTCTACAAAACATACCCTTATTTTATTGTCACCCAACTCCAATAGATTCAATGCTTCCAGGTGGCTCAAATTCTGTATTTTGCTTATTCGGTTAGATGACAAAAACAGCTTTTTCAGTTTCTTCAAATTATCCAGTCCTTCAATCTCTTTAATCCTGTTGAATGATAGATCTAAAACTCTAGGAAAAAATTCAGGATATTACCAACCAGTAATGTTGACATATCTCTTACTCCAAATTTACCAAACAATCAAGATTTTCAATTGTGGTGATTTGGTTGTCATAGAGCTCCAGCTCAATTAAAGTTACCAGTGTGTGCAAATTTTCAATTTTTGTTATCAAATTCCACCGCAAATAGAGCCTCTCAATACATGTCAGTGGTTCCAAATTTTGTAGTTTATTTATTCTACCATGATTCAAATCCAACTCCAAGCAATCTGGATCTATTACCAAAATATCATTAATACTAGGGCTGACATCGTTTGAGTGAGGACTCGCTTCTACTGATGGGGGGGTTTCTCCAGAACCTGCAGCTGAAAACATTTCTTTGATTATACATTTCTAGTACATCATTCAATAATTATATTTCTCAGAAATAAATGGATTCTCGAATTAAATGGTGGTATATTTGAAGGACACTGGGCAACTAAGCATGGAGCGTCCTTATAGAGGATAACATTCTTACTCAATGTTCACAGATAGAAACATACTATGATGGTCGAGGTTTGAACAATTGGATTTCCCCCGCGAATGACTCACTTTGCAGTTTCTCTGAGCAGTATTCCAAAAAATTGCATTTACGTGAAAAAGCACAATTGTTTTCTAGGAATGTGCTCCAGAAATTATAAAAAAAAATGTGAAGTGTCTCCAGAGGCTCCTAGACCATTTACAGTCACCTCTTCATTATTAGATACAGGCATACTTAAGAATGCGGAAAGACGAAAACCCACTATTTACTTAAATCACTATACTGACGAAAAAATGAAAATTTAAAATATAGATAATGGATAATGTACTCAAAATATTGTTTTCCTTTCGAGGTATACGCGCAGTCGCAGTCACACATTCCCTTCAGAGAATTTGCGTATGTTTGTTTTTGTTCAGTCATAATCAAAACAAGGATGACAAGGAGTGCGGTGCAGGTGCCGGGGTAAAAAAGAATACATTACGAACGGTTCTAGAACATTCATTGATGAGTCCGAGAATACCTACCACAGAGAAGAGACAAAGACGGTCATTTTGTGTTCCTTTTTCGTAAACGCATGCGTCGATTTGGTTGTCTCCTCGTCATTCTCGAGCTTAGTTGTCTCCATTAGTCTGTGAGCACTGAGCAAACATAATGAGNTATATCAAGACAATTATATATTTGATGACTCTGTATTATTTATTCCTATTTCAAATTTCAACATAATAATTGTTCTTATGTTTGATACATCGATTAATTTTTATATCATTCTAGCGATCCACCCGGCTTCGCATGAGAGTCAGATCATACTATGAATACCTATCTATGAATATATATCTAAAATATTTGAAATTGAAATTAATAGTTGTGAACATACTTTTGTTTGGGAAAATTTCAATAAAGGACATTATTATTACTTATTAAACAAGCTGATGCGACATTATTACAAAAAATGTAGACATGTATGGGGTACAGCGCGATAACCATCGGTTAGCCGTATTTTGGAAAATGATAGGATTCATATCGTGAAAATTGGCAAACACAGGTTTTGCAATATGCTTGATCGAATGAAAATAATGGCGTTTTTGCAACACTTCCGGTTATACCAGGAGTTGGTACCAACTTTCTTAATTCAATGTAAGGAGTAACATTTCCAAAATTATATACAAGGTGTTCGGAATCGATGACTGATTCTGATGAAACAAAAATGGACCAAAACTCATTTTTTTCAAATGGAACACCCAGTACCTGATTAAGGATAGTTTTGAAGTTTCGAAATGATTTTGACTCATTTTCATGGAACATTCCCTATATAAAAATCAACCGTTCACGCGATTTCAGTTTAAAACACATGCGCATGTGTACCATGAAACTAAGGGCTACGAAATCCTCATTTCGGACAGCTACAGAAAGTTTATTAAGCTATCACAATTTGCTGTCAGGGTTTTTATCAAAACCAGAATGAGTAATGAATTAAAAAATGTTTATTTCAAATGTTTCATAAAACACCGAAGATTCAAAAAAGTTGCATTATTTTTTCACACAAAATATAAAAATTATTTCAAAAAATGCTCGAATACATTTTCGTAGTTTCCAGGAGTGTGTCAACTCTCTTCATCAAATTGTTATTTACTGATGACTGATTTCATCGGCATCTAGGGTATTGAATGCCTGTGAAACTTTTCTCACTATATTCTACTTATTTATTTTTCAATCAAGCATGCTGTGCATATTTGACGTTTGTCCTAGATTCCTATTTAATAATTTTCAATAACATTTCCAAAATACAAATCATGAAATTATAAAACAATAACAAAAATTAATTGGCGCTCCCAGGCGACTTCACTGATTCCAGTAGCGCATTTGCTTTTTCAGCTGCAGCGGAAAAACCTGCAGCACCACATCATCTGAAGATCTTGATCTGCCAATGTCCTGTCTCTCATAAAAAAAAATGTGAAGTGTCTCCAGAGGCTCCAATAAATTCAATACATCGCCAGAACACTTAGTACACAACTATCGTCAAACTTAAACCTGTCCGTTTCGTCTTTGAAATTGTGCGAAAAAAGATCAAGGGTTTATGGACTGGAGAAATACAAAGAATATTTCGACATTCTCTGAAAATGTTTTGATTGCTTATTTTCAAGAATTGATGGAAACTATGAAATCATCTAGCACGTTATTCAATAATGAAATCGTTGGTAAATATCAACCATAATATACATAGACATTTCTAAATATAAGAAGCTACAAGCTTTATTGAAGCAAAAGTCTGAAGGATATGTTGAAGAGAAATCAAAACTATTTTAGCCTGAACAAATAAAAACGTTTATAGACGAAGCGCCCGATGAAAAGTTTTTATTTACAAAAGTAGGTATCTATCTAACGTTGCATTTTTTAAAGTTTTATCATGATTACATTTTCCATTCAACTCATGCATGATAATTTTGAAAAAACCTAGTATGGTAACTCGTGGTGAAGCGGGCTAAGGCGCTAGATTTGATCCCCCTACCACTCCCGTATGTGGGAGAGATGTAAATATTGTAAATACTCCGTATGTTCGGTATTCACCTGTATGTGGCTTCAGGCATTAGACCTTAAATTTGTTAAAGAGAAATAGAGGTANCCCCCCAGGTTTTTCTTTTCGCTACGGCCCTGTATGCAACTCTCTTATAATGGTCATTAATATACTCGCATAACCATGCCATAGAATAGGTATAGGAACTACACTGTGAACTGTGACCATATGAAACTCGCCTTCGGCTCAATTCGTATCTCGGTTATTGCTCGTGTTTTCAGCACATGATCGTAGATATTTCCGTTTGTGTTTTGCATTGATATTTTATATTATTTCTTTGACGTATTTTTCATCATATACCTAGTGGTACCTATATGATGAAAAAAATATGTCATATAGACATATTGGCTAACGTCTTGGAGAAAACATTGAGTCGTCGCGATCAGGATCACAAAAGCCTAGCAAAGATCAGTAAAAAGTAGTAAGACTTGATGTACTCTCTTTTTACGCCATTATCCTTTCCATTGTAGAATGTAGGGTTAAAGAGAAGATTACCCAAGATGTTATCGGGTTACTTTTGTTTTAATTATGGATTGTTGGGCGCCGACTAGCTCTGTAAATTTATGTGGAATATCAACACGACAAAATTTATTTTTGTTTAATCAAACAGCGTAAACGTCATTTCGACGAATTATCTACTTCTCAAACTTCTCAAACCTGATATATGAAATAAAAGTAATTCCATTGCAACGGTCCGCCTACCTGCATGAAATGGATAGGGCTGACAAACAATATGGCGGCGATGCTAAAGAGTATTTAAAAACGTAAATTTAGTAGTTTAACTAGGGGCAATACTACAATAAAGATGCATAGAAATACCATGACGAAAACGCTCTACGGCACTCTTCATTCTTCATGAAACAAAGAGAGAAAGAGGTCCATCATACTTGCATTTCATCTACAAAAGCGCCAAGCGCACACCCATGTTCACATTCCGAAACGATTCTCTTTCCATCTTTCAACATGTGTACAGAGTTGGGTCAATCTTATTTCCCAAATCATCAAATCAAATTCTACTTTATTGTCGAAGATAAAATCTCATTGACTACGTGATCGATCCACCTTCTTTTTTTTCAGTGCGGTCAATGGACTTAGGTCATTCTTGCCCCCCACCCCCCAAATATGAGCTGCGATCCTCGTGGTTCTGGTTACCTTTCAGTGGAAGAACTTCATGAAGCAAGAGCCGAATCGATCCCTCTACGAAACCCTTCATCACTTGAAAGGATCGATTGCAGCTTGAGATGATGTGGTGCTTCAGGTTTTTCCGGGTTTTTCTGGAGCTGCAAAAGCAAGTGCGCCACGGGAATAAATGAAGTCGCCCCGAAGCGCCAATTAATTTTTGTTGTTTCATAATTTCATGATTTGTATTACGTGCTCATCAATTATAAGATATACAAATTAAAAGATTAATGTTATGTTATTGCAGTACGTGAACATTTGATAATTCCAGAATTTTGGAATGAAAAAGTAGTCAGAAAGTAAAAATATATACACTACAGATTAAAATAAATAATAATAAAAATTCTTATACAACACATAAATTTAGATATAAGAATGTNAAGGCGGTAGCATCAACACTGGCGTTGCGTGGAGAAGCAACGAATATTTTGCAAACCCTCACGGCCCAACACCAGGAAGACTATGACCAACTTATGAAACATCTTGAGCTACGATATGGACAGGCACACCTAGAGCACCTTTACCATTCACAGCTGAAGAACTGCTGTCAGAAATCAGGAGAATCCCTACAGGAGTTTGAAGCCGACATTGCTCGATTGGTTTGTCTGGTATATCCTGCTACACCGGAAAATGTAATGGAGCAGTTAGCAGTTCAGGCATTCTTGGACGGACTTCGCAACCAAGAAACGAGGCAGGCCTTGACACTAGCTCATCCCAAACTTCTCGTGTATGCATTGGCAAGCGCTCTGGAGTTTGAGGCTGCAAAACAATCCTGCAAGAGCCAAAGCAAAGTTTGAGCTATCGAGGAAGATGGACAAGTGCCTGCTGATATTGAGGCCACCGTCAGAAAAGTAATGAAAGGAGTGCTGCCTGAGAACTGTGGAAAAATTGGACATGTGCGTAGCAAATGTCCAGCTTTCAAAGAATCGACACCAAATCAGGAAAACTAGAGGAGGTCGATGAGAAGGGACAATCGTCGGCCTGTGCCCAGCAAGCCCCCGTAAAAAACGCATATGTTGTTGTTCTCCAACGACAAAACAAAGATGTTTTCGTAGACGGCCTCATCAACAACGAGCCTTGCACCATGCTGCTAGATACAGGTGCGACGAGAACCATTCTTCGGCCAACCTTTGCTAAAACACCGGCAAGAATTGAACCGTCAAGCTGGAAGCTACGCACCGCAACAGGGGAGAACTACCAATTGAGTTGGTGTTGGGCAGCACAAATTTGAAACATCGTGCATTGGTGGCGGACATCGAGGACGATGCGATCATTGGAATGGACATAATGAATTCCAGAGGGTTCGAGCTGAATTTTCAAGACGGCGTCCTACGTGCCGGCGGAGAAGAGCTGGTGCTTCATAGAAGAAAAAAAGAGACGATCAGGGTCCTGTTGGCTGAAGACGTGTGCGTACCTGAAAGGGCTGAAACCATCCTGAAGGCTCGCTTGGATGAAAGTGCGAGCAGCGGCAAGGTTCAAGCCCAAGATACACGATGAAAAAATTGGTCGAGGAATCGCACTGGGGAAGACCCTGTTGCGTGTTGATAAATTGTGCCAGTCAGGGTCATGAATGTAAACTACTTTCCCGTAACCTTGAAGAAAGGAACCATTCTGGGGCACTGTTAGTCAAGCCAACAATTTGCCTAAAGAGTTGGAGAAGTTGATTGACATTTCCTCCAAGGACATACCACCAACTTACCGATCAAAACTGAGGGAGTTAGTCAAGAAGTACCAAGAGATCTTCGATATTGGAGAGAAAAAAGGCGGCAGAACGAATGTGGTTCAGCATAGAAACGACACTGGGAATGCCCGACCAATCCGGCACTAGAAGACTCCCCCTTGCGAAGAAAGAAGAGGCAGACAAGATAGTCAGCGATATGGAAAAAGAAGGAGTCATCGAACCTTCTGACAGCCCCTGGTCTTCCCCAGTCGTATTAATGAAGAAGAAGGACTACTCGACAAGATTCTGCGTGGACTAGCGCCAGCTAAATAACGTGACGAAGAAAGACAGCTACCCTCTTTTAAGAATCGACGACACCCTAGACACGCTAGCCGGTTCCACAATTTTCTCGACTTTGGATTTGAAGAGTGGATATTGACAAGTTGAATTGGCCCCAGAAGATCGAGAAAAGACAGCTTTCACCATCGGCACAGGATTGTGGCAGTTTACGGTTATGCCATTCGGGCTTTATAACGCTCCAGCGACCTTCGAGAGATTGATGTAGACGGTTCTCAAAAGGCTCTCATGGAAGACGTGTCTAGTGTATCTCGACAATATAATCGTGGTCGGAAAATCGTTCGACGATCACTTGAAAAATTTTGAGGAGGTATTCATGAATCTGAGGAGTTCTGGATTGAAACTTAGTCCCAAGAAATGCCATCTGTTCCAGAAAGAAGTCCGTTACCTTGGCCACGTTGTCTCTGTGGAAGAAGTGGCGGTAGACGAACGAAGGATCATTCCTAAAAGTCATACATCAGCTTCGGAGCTTCCTTTGTTTATGCACCTACTACCGCAGATATGTGCTAGGGTTTGCCAACATCGCCAAACCATTGACCCGACTTACAGAAGGACAGATTCAGTTACAGTGGTCTGAGGAATGCCAAGACTCATTCAAGAAGCTGAAAAGGGCTTTGATCAACGCTCCTGTTTTGAGCTATCCCGTACCGGACGGAAAGTTCATTTTAGATACGGATGCCAGCAACGTTGGAGCTTGGAGCAGTCCTTTCTCAGATCCAGGATGGACAAGAGAAAGTTATTGGCTACTTCAGCAAAACGCTCAGTAAATCAGAGCGCAATTATTGTGTCAGCAGGCGAGAGCTGTTGGCCGTTGTCAAAGGTGTAGAGCATTTCTACAAATACGTGTATGGAAGAAGATTTCTGTTGAGAACGGACCATGAAGCTCACAAATGACTTCTGCAAAAATCCCGAGGGCCAAGTGGCGCGCTGGATTGAGAGACTACAAGAATTCAACTTCGAAATAGAACATCGAGCTGGGACTAGCCATAAAAACGCAGATGTCCTGTCACGGAGCCCATACCCCGATGACTGCTCACATTTGCCGACGGGCAGAAGAGAAGGAAGAAGCTATTTGTAGAACTACAGCTGTAGACGACAACTGGGAGGATAATAAGATCAAGGAAGACCAAGAGGAAGACGCAGATCTTGATTTAGTCATCAAATGGAAGAAAAGTAATCGAAGACCATCGTGGCAGGAGGTAGCAGGTTATTCGCCAGCGGTTAAGTCCTACTGGGCACAACGGAACTCCCTTAACTTGGAAAACGGGGTTCAGAAGCGGGTGTTGGAGTCTGAAGATGGTGGAGAAGAAAGGCGCCAGACAGTGGTACCCAGGAACAGACGACGGGAGGTGCTCAAAGAAATCCATGATGGGGTCACTGGAGGACTTCTGGGAGTAACGAAGACCCTCCAGAAAGTAAGACAACGGTTTTACTGGGTTAATTGTCCAGCTGACGTCAAGGACTGGTGCAGAAAATGTGCTGTATGTGCTGCCAGTAACGGACCTCGGATACGACCGAAAGCTCCAATGCGCTAGTATAACGTGGGTAGTCCTTTTGAGAGAATCGCCATCGACATCGCCGGCCCGTTCCCAGAGTCCGACCATGGGAACGCCCTCCGCGCCCTCTGACCACCAGAGGATGGAGTGACGTTCCAGCAATTCATGTCCTTATACTCGAACGGACAGAAGGTCGTACATGGGATAACTCGAGAAGAGCCACGAGACCTTTTCAAGGTTCCAGTTGATTACGCGAGGATCTCCAAATGTCCAAGGGTATCGCTATGGTATTCAACAAGAAATTCAGTCAGCAGAACAGAATCCTGAAGTCGGAGGAGTGCTACAGTTAAAGAAGGGTCAGAGAAACGTTTTCTACTTGGTGACCAAAAAGCATTCTCGAGACAAACCGTCATATGAAGATGTCTGCAGGAGTCTTACCAGACTGAGGGACACGATGCTCGATCAGAATCTCGTGAACTTGGCAATCCCGAAATTAGCCTCTGGGCTCGATAGGCTGGACTGGAGAATTGTGAGAAGCGTGTTGGAAACGATCTTCAGATCCAGCGGCATCAAGATTTTGGTGTGCGGTAACCATCTTCCACGACCCAGCATGAAGACTGTGGAGTGTTACTTCCATCGAACTTCACAGTGCAGATATAGGGAGTCCTGCAGGTATCGACACATGCCAAGAATGACATTTCGGGACGAAACGTCTTTAAGAAGGGGGCAATGTAACGCATCTGAAGCCAGCCCTGACCGATATCTCAGCCAGCATATAAGCACATGACTCATCGCGAAAGGAATGAACTCGACAAGTCGCCGCGAAAAGTTTAGGCGACTACTGAAACAAATAGAGAAATCTAGCACGGTCGTTACTGATTTATAAGGCTTACTTCTCGTCCCGAGATGGCAGTCTGTATTCAGAAAGCGAATCGTGCGTTTAAATAAAGAATTCGAACAGTGAAGATAAATTAAGCGTTAGTTGCTAAGTGTTGAAAATAAATTGGTTGTGATAGTGAAATATTGTTAAAAATAAATTTGTTCAAGACAGGTAATTCTTTAATTCGTTACAGTAAGTATCTAATTCGTAAACACTTTCAAACTATACAGTTCAGAGCCAAATCTCGAAAATTTTTGACAAAACAAAAAAGAATCGGTTTAAACACCAGGGTATCTATGCATGATTAAGATTAACTTGGTTTGGTTGTTTGGTATCAACCAAGATGCATAAAATATCCCTGTTGTGATAACTTCGACCACTTCGTCGTGTAAAATATTTTGTCAAAAACTCTCGACCTCTCATTCACAGAGACGCTCAAAAATGACACTGCTTGACAATATCAAATTAGTACTACAGTTTTCATGTTACTCACATTTGAAAATAAATGTATATTAGGTGAAACCTTTATCACATTATGCTCCATGAATCAAAGAGAGACTGATTTTGATTCTAGCACCATCTATCAACACGTGTAAAAAGCTGAGTCAATCTCAATTCGGGAGTTTTTGACAAAACAAAATCGAATCGTGGTTTTTAATGCATCTTTGTATTGTATTCCTTGTACAATACGGACCACTTGTAAAGTAGTTTTTCTTGGTAGCTGCCAGCTTTCTACTGGAATTCCTCAATTTTAGGACTGAAAATGTATTGTTACCACCAACACTGCAAATCTGTAGTTGTAAAAGAATTTGGAGGGTATGAATCTCTGATAGTGAGTTACTCTATTCATTTATAAGTAAACCTTTTTTGATATTTATTCATTGCAGGTTGAAGATTTAATACTACCAAGTTTGGATGGTAAGATTGAAGTGCTAGTTAAATATGGTGGTTTGAATTTTGCTGATCTTTACACCAGACAGGGTTTGATGGTGGATAAGCCCCTTCCATTTATACTGGGTATGGAATGTACAGGAATAATAACAGCTATTGGACCAAACTTAAGAAACACAGACTTCAAAGTAATTTACAGAACAATTACCTGCATGGTTCCAACAGTAGCATATTTTACTGAGAAGTAAAGCTTTTTATAAGACTGATATTATGATTGAACGTGGATTCACACACTAGTAATAGGTCATAAGAATCCCTGATGGCCATATTGTTGCTATTATAAATTTAGGGCATGTGCATGAATGTTCTCATTGAAAATCAGTATACTTTCCACTTAAGATAGGTGCATAATTCAAACTGGAATGAAAGTTAATTGTTTTTTATTTATTACATCCATATATCTAAATGAAAAAGATATTTTAAAATTATTCTTTATATTTCTTTACTTTACTATTTGTTTGGAAATTACAACTTTTAATCTCGAAATTTCAACTTCAATCCTGAAATTCTGACACTAATTGTTTTTTTTATTATAGAAGCGTTTTCATTTTCTATCTCTTAAAGACAAAAGAACTTATTATTCTTACATTTTCATATACAAATTGGTAAACGATCTTGTTGACTCACCAAAACTACTGCCTCAAGTAGAGTTTCATGTGCCAAGAACGAGTGGTAGAACCATAGTATATACAATGGTAGAACTGAACAGTGTGTTCACCTACCAACACCAAGAACCAATATGTTATACAAATTTTCCTTATTTGCAATGTGCTATAATTAATTTCTCTAGAAAAAAATCTCCAATAATAAAAAATATGCTCAATATATTACCAAATTTACTCAAATGTACCTTAAATAATAGTACTATTGTATACTATTTTCTAAGTAATTTTGAAATATTTACAGAATTTCATAATACCCCCAAGATAATAGATCATTCATTGATTTCAGTAAATATCAGTAACTTACGGAGTAACCATAAAATTGAGGTATTTGAACCATTTAGAAATTTTGGTCCAACAAACATTGATAAAATTAACTTAGATTTAATCTCTTGTAATTTTTTGCCAGATAGAATAAACATCGAAAAAGTAACTTTCAGACACAAACTGAAAGAAAAAGCCCTCTCAAAAAAGCTATTTTCATACAAACATTGAATTACACAAAAGAAAAATACTTTTGAAACAAATACTTTTATGTGAACGCTAAATTATACGAAAAACTGTTTTCTCTATCCCTTTGTATTCTAGCAGTGAGGATGACAGTATTCCATGTGAGTAAAATTTTACTTCTTTCATTAATTATATTGATAGATAGATAGATATATTTATTTGATCATGTTATGTATAAAATACATTTATAAGTCTATAAAATAAAATAAACAGTAAAAATTTATAACAAGTTTACACGGTATATTAACAACTTTTTTAAAACAAAACATATTCATATTTTCAATATTGGCAGGAAGTGCATTATACAATTTGAAATCGTAGGAGTTTTTTTGTGATTTCATCAGCCTGAAACGTTGAGGTTTAATAAAATTGCTGTTACGTGTATCATGATCGTGTAAACTGGATTGCTTGGAATAGGCTTGAGTTAACATACAAAGAAGGCACCGACATAATTTCATGAGTGATGAATGATTCACGGCAAGATTCCCTAAAACCGATTAGGCATCACTAGAATTTCCCCAAAGTAGAATACCGTAAGAAATGTGAGACTGTATGAGCGAGCAAAATACTATTTTCAGCGTAGTGAAATTTGTTATTGGTTTTAGCTGTCTAAGTAAAAATAAGGCACTCGATAGCTTACTTTTCAAACTTGAAATGTGGCTTGACCAATTTAGCCTATTGTCCAGAGTAAAACCCTATAATTTGACACACTATTGTTGAATAGAACTAGCCGATATTTGATGAAAATCCACATTTAAAAACTAATTAAACATACAGTTTAATATATGATTTTCACTATAGTGAAAATTATACAATAAACTATTAATTATTTTGTTAATTATATTGTGTAAAAATCCTGTGAATGATATCTGATTCGATTCCATTAATATTATTATTTTCATATTTTTTCGCCTTTGAAACCTTTCCTGGACTTCCACAAATAACTCAAAACCAAAATTAAATAAATTGATCCAGCTGTTCTCAAGTTTTAGAGAGACTAACAAACAGCAATTCATTTTTATATATTAGACAAGTAAATGAACATGGTTAGAGGTCCTTCTCAGAAGCTTTAAATTTTTTTGTGAGTTCTGCAGATGTATTTTCATTTAATGAAACACAAATCTTATAATTAATGAGACATAATTATGAAATTATATGAATACATTTTATGATATTCAATGATGCCTGTGGATAAGAATGAGCTCTTATTTTATGTTTGCTTGGTAAAAAATTTAGAATATATGATTTCAGGAAGTAAAATTCATACTCATTTTTTTAAATATTTTGTATCACTAATTCAATGTGATTTAATGATGCATATTCAGAACAAGCAACAAGAAGGAGAAAAGGGGCAACATTCACTAAAAGTTATACATATGAAAAATGAACATTCTGCCAATAACTACGTATTAATTTGACAAATAAAAAGGAGGAAACAATTATCCTACTGTTAAAAACTTATAAGTATGAGCTCAGAGATATTTCTCGATATTATGTTCTTTAATTTGTTTTTCGAAGCAAATACTTTGTCTTTGAAAGATTTATTGAAAATTCTAAGTCTACTGTAGCAAATACCTTTCTAGTAGAAAAAGTCCTCTCTCTCCAGTCAATTCTTCTAGATCCTGTTCTGTAAACAATTAGGACACTATTGATATTCATCAAACAATTGAATGCAATTTTTCAATATACCTGTTTCTTTTTTTAGGTGGGGCAAGCAGTAGTTTGCTATGATCACAATGGAGGCATGTTCAGAACCAAAGTACGTGTTGAACCAACCAAATGTTTTCCGCTACCAGATTTTATTAACTTTAAAATAGGGGCAGCTGTATTCGTCAATTATATCACTGCCTATTTTTCGTTGATCAGTCAGGGAAATCTCAAAGAGGGAGAGACAGTTCTGATTTTATCCTGCACAGGTAGAATTTGTTGTATATTGTAGTATTTGTACAGCTTAAGGAGTAGGCATAGAGTAACTTCCCGGAGAGTGTGTCGATAGATATTTTGAATAGTATAAATAGCGTGTTGAACGACACTAGATTATTGTGGTCTCCAAAATCGTAAACCTGATGGGTGTTATTTTAATCAAATTTTGATGGCTCGCTTAATCTGACCGATATACTCGTAATAGTTCTCATATCTTATTTCATGTACCAAGACTTTTCATTTCTCAACATCTTGTTTTTAGGGTTACCTAACATTTGTTGAAGTGAGCAAGAAGTTTTGGAGGCTACTTTCATGTTCAATTTTTTAAACATACAATATAATCCGTTAGTGTAACTTGGTTCATACGGAAGAACATTCATGAATCGTAACTCCTCGTTATTTTCGATTTTATATGTAAACTTGATATTTGAGGATATGTTAATAGTTGAAACAAAACAGATAGTAGTTGATTCACAGATGGATCAAAAACACCTTCCGGTTCTGGTGCAAGTATTTTCAGTCGCAGACCCAGGACAGAGATATCAACCTGCTTAGGAACCTATGCGACTGTATTTCAAGCGGAAATTCACACTATGGAATTGTGTGCGGAGAGATTGGAAGAATCCAACCTCATACACAAGTCAATATTCTACTGTATACTACTGTAATACACAGTGACGTCAAGTGTAAATGTTATTGTTTAATATCTCATAACTAAATCCGTGAAAATTTTAATAATCAAAAAAGGAACTATAAACAATTGCCTATACACATAACAAGTGTTAGGAATGCCTCACTCGCTACCAATGATGAAAACACTTATAACACCACCTACTTTATAATATTTATTAGTCTATCCAACAACAACGTCAGTTTCAGACTGACTCACTTAAACATATTTTCCACATGGAGGAATGTATCATCCTCTTATGTAAACCTATCAGGTGACCTTCAGGCCTGTTCCATACAGTACTCCCAACAAGATAATGTCCAGGGCTGTACAAAGCACTGATCCTAACGCACTCCCTAACACAAGGGAACCTATTTCTATAAAGTGGAATTGTTATTTTCGAATTTCCTGCAAAAATTTACACAAAGGGTGAAAAGTGAGGTTAGGTACAATGGATAACAAGTGCTCAAAATGTTCAGAATTAATTGCAGAGGAAAAGTTTATACTCTGTGATAGCTGCTTGATGCCCTTTCACCAAAGTGAAAAATGCCTTGGTTTGGTGCTTCTGAACTGAGAGCTGTGAACGTCCGTAACAGATCGCTGATTTTTTCTGTGCGGAATGTCGATAGGCTTTCAAGAGTGTGCCCAAATTAGTAGTGGATATGAAGGTGATGAAGGAAGAACTGGCTGAAACAAAAATAGAGTTGTAGAAGGTGACTAGTGAATTGCAAATGATGAATAATTGATCTTGAGGCGAACAAAATCACTGCCTCAAATCCGATGCATATGGAGTTTTTAGCAGAAGTAGAGGAGAGAAAGCATCAAGCAATGAATGTTATAATAGCAAATATTAAGGAATTGTCCAAAACCAACCATATAGAAAGATTAAATGAGGAGAAAGAAACTGTAATGAATATTCTCAAAAATGTTAGTCTAACTGACACACTAAGACTAGAAAGAATCGGCAAGTTCTCAAAAGATAAATGTAGACTTCTGAGTGTAACATTCAAAAACCCAGCCGATGCAAAGGAAACACTCATGGTTAATAAAACACTGCACACAGTAAAGATATTTGGGGATCAAACGGTGAAACAAAGGGAATATTATAAAGTAGTGAAAAAAAGACTTCAAGAAATTATTGAAACAGGAGACAACTCAACTATCAGTACATTAACTCTATCCCTACAATAGAAGAACGACTAGTAGTTTAGTTTTAGTTTAGTAGCTCATAAGACTGATATTATTCTGAATATTATAAGTTATAATCCAGCACTGATAGTTTTAAGTGAAGCGAGAACAACTCCAGATGTTAGCAATGCTGAAATATATATAGATAACTATAATGTAATTCGATGTGATAGTAGCAGCAGGCATACTGGAGGGGTTGTCATATATATAAGGGATAACATAGAATACAAGGTAAAAAAATCTTTGGTCAGTGAACCTAACTACTGGATTCAGTTTGTTGAAATTAAAATCAATGGAAAGAAATGGTTAATAGGAGGTATTTATCATTCGCCTAATGAAAGCCATTCTGGGTTTCTGGACAGTTTGGAAAATATTCTTGAAAATTATTTCTATAATAAAAAGTGTACTCTGATTGGAGATTTCAATATTGATTAAAAAAAGTTAGTGACAAATAGCAGCAAAACTCTTATTGATTATGTGATCTCTAATGAATCAAATATACGAACTGCTGTACATGATGTACAAAAAATATCTGATCATTCTATATCAGTTAACATTTTTGACTGTAGGAAAGAAATTTCAAACAAATTAATTCGTGTAGGAAATTTAAATGAAAGTATATATAAAGAAATCAATTTAGAACTTCTCTCTGTTAATTGGAACTTGAATACAACCAATGTGAATGAAATATTGGATGAAATAGAAACAAAAGTTACTGTAATTGTGAACAAAATAGCACCTGAAAAGCAAATACAAATTAAGTCAAATCAATTACCATTCTATGACAGTGAACTGAAAACATTATCAAGAGAAAAAGATATAGCTTATAAAAATTTCAAAAATTATGTGGAAATGTCTAAAACAACTAGTCAAACCAGTAGAATCACATAATATAAAGGGAATTATGTTTGAAAATAGTAATGGTAAAAAAATATGTGATAATCAAATAGAGATTGCCTATAATTTCAATGAATATTTTGTAAACAGTGTAATTGAGATAGAAAATAGTATATATTGTGAGAAATGGACACCGAATAACTATGAACCCATAAACAGTAGGTTGAGTCAATTCAAAAAAATAAACATGATAACTTTACGTAAGATACTTTTTTCTCTTGATAAAGTAAATGAAAGTGAAATTATAAATGGTAAATTCTTAAAAGAAACTTTCGATGTGCCTGGGCATATAATATTGAACTTTATAAATACTTCCTTGTACACGGGACTGTTTCCAAACCAGTACAAAGTTAGTACAGTGACTCCAATTCCGAAAATAAATAATACAAGTGATGCAAGTAATTTTCTTCCAATAAACAGACTTCCAACGCTAGAAAAAGTACTGGAACTGGCGGTATATGAACAACTAGTTACATACTTTAATGAAAATAATTTATTCATCGAAAATCAATCTGGTTTTCATAAGAATCACTCATGTGAAACTGCATTACAACTAACAGTCACAGAGTGGACCAAAAGTATTGATAAGAAAAAATATATTGTTGCTATATTTCTAGATTTCAAGCTTGCCTTTGAAACAATTAAAAGGAAAACTTTAAACTGGTTAGATAGTTATCTTGAGCAAAGAAGTCAAAGGACTAAAATTTGTGATGTATTGTCTGATCAAATTATAAATGACATAGGCGTTCCACAAGTTAGTGTTTTGGGACCACTGTTATTCATTATTTATATAAATGATATCAACTATGTACCTGGTTCACACCATATTAATTTATTTGCTGATGATACCCTTGTATATACGGAAAACTGTGATTTAAAAGAAGCTGTACAAAATATCAATATATCTTTAAAGAACATTGAATTATATCTACAAGTGAATAAACTCAAATTGAATATATCAGTAAATCTAAGGCAATGATTGTTACAACAAATTCGAATCAAAGAAAGATTGATACTTATGACGTTAATATCAGCATATTCAATAATCAACTCACAATTGTAAATGAAATTAAGTACCTAGGATTCATTATAGACCATCAAATAAATTTGAATAAGCATGCCGAATATACCATTAGAAAGATATGTAAGAAAATGTATTTTTTCTGTAGAATTTCAAAATCTTCATCAACCTCTGCTAGACTAACATGTTACAACTGCATAATAAGGCCACACTTTGGCTACTATGCCACACTGACGTATCTATTCAACCAAAATCAAATGGGACAGTTGCAGAAACTACAAAATCGAGGTATGAGAATCATTTTGAGATGCAACCAGTATGCCCCTATTGAATCTATGTTGAATACTTTACAATGGCAACCGGTACATAAAAGACTGTATTATTTAAGCATGATTTTTATTTTCAAAATTACGAGTGGGATACAACCAGCGTATCTTAGCAGATATTTAGTTCGAAATAGTGACATTCATTCATATAACACAAGAACATGTAATACATTTTATAGATCCTGAACAAACTGTTAAACCCTTGCGGGTTGCGGTGGACAGTCGAATAAACCCACTAACTTTGGACCTAACCTAACCGCTACCTTTTATTTCTTTGTTTCAAAAATACATTGTCTACATATTGGATTCAAGTCCATGGAAAGTAATCTACCTCCTGTTTTGCTTCCAATTCAAATTTGCTCATGATACATATCAGCTATAAAAGAGGACAACGAGTTTCCCATTTGTCATGCCTTCATGCTGTATGTAGAAAAAGTTGTTGAACTGGAAGCAATTCTGTTCCATGTTGATTTTTTTTAAGGCAGCATAAAGGCACGGCAATGGGAAACCCGCTGTCCCCCTATATAGCTGATCTGTTTCAAAAGCAAATTTGAATTGGAAGCAAAAGAGGAGTTGAATTACTTTCCATGTTCTTGGATCCAATATGTAGATGATGTATTTGCGATTTTTGACAAAAAGAAATATCACTTTGTTTCAACTCTTAATTGCAGTTCCCTGAATATTGGGTTTACATATAAATTTGAAAACAATGTGGAGTTAACATTCTTGGATATCGATCAGGCTAAGCGAGCCATCAAAACTCGTTTCAAAGAACACGCAGTACATATTCGATTTCGAAGACCAGGAAAATCTAGTGTCTCTCAACACGCCTTGTAAAACGGCCATAGAATGAATGGATACTTTTGAAAGTATAGACATAGCTAAGTGTGGCATGGGAACTATGAATAGTCACAAAGGTTCCACTTCAAACAGCCCACTTTTCACATTTTTATGAATAAATCTGATAAAATTTGCGGGAACTTTTACGAAAATGTTTTGCGAATATCTACTTGAAATCATTGATGTGTATTTGAAAGTGAAAGCTTACTCTGTTAGACATGAATAGAGATCACGTTGGGTTAGGTTAGGTCCAAAGTTATTGGGTTTATTCGACCTCCACCGCATTCCGCAAGGGTTTATTGTGGCTCTCACCTATTCACACTCTACCAAATAAACCCAGCTTCTAAAGGCCTGGATAGGCGTTCCGTCATACACATTAACTTGCTTGCGCAAACTTGAAATACACGATTTATCGCGGCGTTAGTGCTGATAAGTCGGTAGACTTATTGAATTTGTACAGACAATTGTTTGGCTTCAATGAAATCAAACCTGCCAGATGTTTTCTTGCGAGTACAGACTTGCCTTAACGGTAGTTGCAATGTGTGGCGTTTCGTGCGACGTATTAAGTCCGTCTTCTTGTGCTAGAGAGTATCCTGGTGCAGGGCGCACATAATATATGTTAAAATTAAGAAGATTATATAGTTATTCAGTTTATTAATTAGTGAGTTCAAGTATGTCGGACCTACGGCTTATGTCGAGAGACTTCCTCACAGACTTCATTAATTTATATAGAGAAAATCCATGTCTCTGGAAGGTAAAATCCAAAGAATACTCGGACAAACAAAAAAAAATGCGGCATATGAGATACTCATACAAAAATTAAAAGAAGTAGATCCCGCTGCTAATAAAGATGCCGTAATAAAAAGAATCAATTTGTTGCGTACTTGTTTCCGGAAAGAGTCAAAGAAAACTAGAAGTGCGCAGTCGGGTATGGGCGCAGAAGACTTGTATAAGCCAAATCTCTGGTATTTTGATTTATTGATATTTTTGACTGACCAGGAGACACCGCGACAGGATGGGATGGATACTATAAATGAAAGTCCAGTGGTAGATGTAAGTATACATTCATTTATTTTAAATGGAAAGCAACAACTGTATAATGCTTCATTAGTGTTATTTTATTATACGTGATCAATGAATCATATTATTTTGCCAGTTTACTTGACCTTCGCCATTAAAATATCCCACATATAACTCTCTAAGTTCATTAGCTCCTTGTGCAGTATTTCGATTGTGTCCACGTTGTAGTCCGCTTAAAATACCAGGGTCAACTCGCAGCCCTGTATGAACTTTCTGATTGTGTCCAATCTTCTTCGTCTAAGGACTCGGGAGTATACGAATCAGAGCATTTTTTTCGCAAATAGTTATGTAAAACAAAGCACGTCAACACCACTAAATCTGTACTGTCTAATTTTAAATTAATTTCTGTATGAAGGATTCTAAATCGGGCAGCCAGTATACCAAAAACATCCTCGATGAATCTGCGTGCCCTAGACAGACGATAGTTGAAAATGTTTCTTTCTCTTGTCAAATCTCGCGAGCCAAATGGTTTCAGTAAATTTTTACGCAGAGAAATTGCTTCATCTCCGATAAAAACCCAAGGAAGCTGAGTGGAACTATTTTTTGCAGGGGAAGGAGTAGGTAATCGCAATTATTCTTCAACAAGTTTTTCATAAAATTTAGTGTTTTCAATTACACCTCCATCCGAAACGCGACCATTTGTGCCCATATGACAATAAATTGGGAAACTGCCACTTTTCTTCAAATTCCCTACCAATTCTTCTCCATTCTTCTTCGCTGTTTGGAAACTGGAAAAAACAAGAATGAGGAATTAAAATACCTACGTCTTGTAAATATTTTTTTTTAACATAAGAATAAGCAAATATATTTCAACACAGGCCTAAATAGCTATTATTTAAAGTATCAAAAAGTATAAAAGTCCGTTAAGAGCCATAATTAAAGTATAGTTGCAGTAACAAACATAAAGAATTTGATGTAAATCTTTAAAGTATGAAATAAGTTGATAATCTGAATTATTTTTTTAGGACGCCAGCCAATTCACCGAACATGAAGACAATTTTAACGACCATTCTTCATCCCAATCATCACTACGTCCTCTATCCACCCCATCCACATCAACATCAAATTCCAGAATTAGTGTCAAAAGAAAAAGTCAAAAGAATTTGAATTGCAGCGATAAAGTTTCAAATATTGTAGCAAGTAAACTTCAAAATCAAGGAAAATATGCAGCTTTCGGCCAACATGTAGGCCAATAACTTCTGGAACTGCCTTCTGAGATGGCCATATTTTGCAAAATGATGATTAATGAAGCAATCTTCCAAGCACAAATGGGACAATTGAACCAGACATCAAAAATTGTAACCCAGATCGAAACAGATAGAACACCAACAACTACTGATATATACACTTTTCAGTATAATCAGGAGGTTAGTCGGCCCAGTAATACTGAAGTTTTAAGATCGACACCAGAAGGACCCATGAAACCCTTACAACGCTTGGGGGGATTAAATTCAATATTTCATGGAATAGACACTTTTCAGTATGATCATGAAAGGGTTAGATCGCCCATTGGAACTGAAATTGCAAGATCGCTGGAAGCAACCAATGATCTCTCACAATTTCTTGGAGAATATTATTCAAAATACAACGTTGAAGATAATAATTGAATGAAATATAATTAGGTGTAATACGTTATACTGTTTTCAATAAAATACTTTACTTTACCTTCAAATATTGATTTTTTTAATCCTTCATAAATAGCTCTGCATGTATCCGGTATAATTTCACCAAGTGCTTGACAAGATATTGCACATGAAAATTTCAAGTCAGCATAGCTTCTTCCTGTTGCTGAAAAGCGTAGAGTTGCGCTGAGCCTCTCATGTGGTGATAATGCTTTTCTCATAACTGTATCCATCCTTTTGATTTGAGGCGTTACTATCTGGAGCAATTCCATATAAGTTTTTTCGTCCATACGTAAATAATTGAACCAATCCTCAGGTTCTAATCGAAGCTCATTTAGTAAATGTAGGTGTAATAATTCCTGTCGCTTAAGTAACCATTCTTTCACCACTTGGAACGTTTTCTCTTATTTACTTTTTTCTTTTTTGCTATAATAGCAATAGTAGCCGCACACAATAATAGATCGTCAGCCATGTTGATTCTGGACATTTAAATTGGTCAACAAAACGAACAAGACTAAATAGTTAGTGGTCAAATGAGGAATTCAGTCTTGCCGTACAATTTACGTTTGCGCAAGCAAGTTGATGTGCATGAGAGAGAGAGAGAGAAAGAACTTTATTGTCCAAAGAACAGAATTCTTGTTAACAAAGTTTAGAAATACATTTATGTATGTACACATATATCTATATATACACACACACACACATATACATATGTAACAGAAAGGGATCAATTCAAAATTAAATAAACACGTTAAAATAATAAAACCAAGTAAAATAACATAAAGTGCGTATACAAGTGATTGCAATGTTAGTCAAAATCTTCATTATAATATTCGTCTAAAGTATAAAAAGCTTTATTTAGCAAAAAACATTTTACAGCACTTCGAAAATTTTTATATGAAGAAGTGGAGCGAAGATATACTGGCAAATGATTGAACATTTTCCTTGCATTGTATATTATGCATTTTTTTATTAATGCGCTTTTAGGAATGGGTAGTGCTATTAAGTGGCTATTATGCCTAGTATTATAAGAGTTTGTTGAATCACTGGTAGTATTAAATTTTTTGTGCATCATACACACACTTTCAAGGATAAAAATGCATGTCAGAGTCAAGATTTTTTGATCAATAAACAGGGGTTTACAGCAATCTCTCGGTTTTGTCTTACAAATATATCTAACCGCTCTCTTTTGTAAGATAAACACAGACTGTAACAAGAACTGAGAAGCATTACCCCAGAAGCAAATTCCATATCTTAGGCGGGATTCTATTACCGCAAAATAGACTGTTCTTGCAGCTTGCAAGTTGAGTTCTCTGGTAATAACCCTTAAAACATAGCATCCCGAAGCCATCCTATTACATAGATTAGAGATGTGGATATCAAAGGATAGATTATTATCTACATGCAAACCCAAGAATTTACTTGATGAGACGGAGCTAATTAAAGTATTCCCTAGAAAAATTTCATTTAATATACATTTAAAGGTTAGTATGCAGGTTTTTGTGGTATTGAATGCCAGTCTGTTAGCATCACACCACTTTTTAACGATGTCTAGATCAACCGATATATTATTATATAGTTCAGTATTGTCTTTTGAGTGCCAAACAATAGTAGTGTCATCAGCAAATAGAGTTGTTTTTCCTTTCGTATTGATGAGAGATAGGTCATTTATGAAGAGCAGGAACAGTAGTGGATCTAGTACTGAACCTTGCGGAACCCCACAAGATACCAACCGAGGTTCAGATCTCTTATTATTAACTAATACAGACTGGGTGCGATCTGACAAATAAGAATGAAACCATTTCAACGCTACATCTCTGAAACCATACATTTCCAATTTATTCAAGAGAATTTTGTGATTTACGCAGTCGAATGCCTTAGCAAGGTCACAAAACACAGCAGCAACTACTTCACCCTCATTGATACTGAAATATATTTTTTCTAGAACTGAGAACATAGCATCATTGGTGCTCCTTGATTCTTGAAAACCAAATTGGCAATTACTAAGTGAGTGGTTAGTATTGAGAAATGAGATCATTCTTTTCTTCACCAATTTTTCTATAAGCTTTGCAAGAGTTAGCAAAAGTGAAATGGGTCTAAGGTTTGTAACCAACTCACAATCTCCTCCTTTAGATAAGGAGTTAAAGATTGCGAACTTCAAACATTTTGGAAATATTCCGCTCGAGAATGAAAAATTGATGGCTTCTGCCAAGGTTGACAAAGCATTCTCTGGAATATGAAGAAGTACCTTTGCAGATATATCGTCCCATCCTGAGGTATTTTTGTTTTTTATACTTTTTAAGATGTCCATTATTTCCTCAGAATTAGTTGGTGTTAAAAAGAAAGAATCATGAAGGAACGTCTATCCCGGCCTTTAACGAAGCCGATTAGTTTGTATGATGAATGGTCTTTCAGGTCAGATGATAAGAGTACGGCTCTTCCAAACTCTAAAAACCTGATTCGGTCCCCAGCGGGACAGGCACAAAGTATGTCTTCCGATAGTCCGAGTCTCTGCATATGATGATTCAAATGGCAGTGACCTGTAAGAAGGCCCCCACAGACGTTCTTTTTTGACAGGATTACCCGACGTGCAAAACTGTTTGGGTAATCCGGTAGGTGTGTGGCAGAAAACCGTTGTGATTGCCGGCGTTACAACAAATTATCTGTTTTGATCTGATTTTTCACTACGGTTTTGAACGGGATCGTTCAAGTCGGCACGTATGTGGTAGGCAGACCGTTAGTCTGTTTAAATCTGTTTTCCGTTAACCAACTATCGCACCTCTATGAACGACAACCCTCAGAAGTCGAAACTTGTGCGAGCTAAGGATTAAAGAGATCTTACCTTTTAACGTGTGACTCCTAACACGGGTTGGACGATAGCAAGTGAAAATCGATTGTTCAGACTAGGGCTTGAACCACCGACCAACGCGGCAGTCAATTCGAATGAGTGAACAAAGCACCTACGTCGAACCGCCTGGCTACCGACCGACGAAGTAGATTTTGAATATTAGTAGTGTGCGTATTCAGTGTATATAAAATGAGTGATTTGAGGCAATGCAGTGAACACTTTATGACGGAATTTATTGAAATGTACAGAAACTTCCCATGTCTCTGGAAAGGCAAATCGAGCGAGTATGCTGACAGAGATAAAAAGAATAAGGCGTACAAGGAGATATTAACCAACAATATAGAAATGGTGAAAATGAGAATTGATTCGATTCGAGGAACATCTTTTTTTTAACATGGCATATAGCTCTACAGATTTCGGGTACGATGTGCCTCAAAGCTTGAGGAGAAGGAGGAGGTATTTCAAATCTTCGTAGCTTCTTCCGGTAGCGATAAATCTCAAAGTGGCTGTCAGACGTTCATGGGGGTTATTTGTTATACATTTTCACTCCATTATATATAATTGAGTTCTTGATTTCACTACTTATTGGGATAGGAACCTTTAATTGGCAAGCTTGTCTAGTATTGTGGTGAGGCGGAGAATAAAGGTACTTTTGTTCTTGTGTATAAGGTATGTTGATTCAAGAGTAAACAATGAAGTCACAGTTGAAATTCCATGCATTTAAAACAATGGCTTACAAAGATCATTACACTTTGCTCCAAAGAGATACTGTACCGCACATTTTTGTAATATGAAAACAGATTGAAACATCGGTTTACTGCATACACCCCAAAATGCTATGCCATACCTTAGGTGAGAGTCTATGAGGACATAATAAACATTTTTTGCTGCGTGAAATCCTAATTCTTTTGATACTATTCTGAGTGCAAAACACCCGGAGAAAAGTTTCTTGTTTATAATGCCTATATGCTTCTCAAATTTCAGACACTCATCAATATGAATTCCCAAGAACTTTGTGGAGATCTTATTTTCCACTAGTGTACTTTCCATATGAATTTCTGGTATATTGCACTTAAAGGTGATTATACTAGTTTTTTTAGTGTTGAATGACAGCAGATTTGCATCCCACCATTTTTTAATTTCGCTGAGGTCGTTACAGATGCACTCATATAAATTCTTCTTTTCAATACAACTTCATATAAAAATAGACTTACCCTTTCTGTTGGATTGATACTGTGTATGATGGAGGTGGCGCTGACGTAGCTGGAGGCGTCGTCGATGTTGGGGACGGTACCTAATAATAATATTTATTAACAATTAATGATACACAACATACATATGATAGGTCACACTGAATTAAATGAAACAATTACCGTTTCTCACGTTCTTTGTATAAAGATGGAGAAGTAGAAAGACAAAAGTTTCCTTTCCTGAAAATTAATCTCTCCTAAAAATGAAATGAAACCCATCAATTAATTACATTTCACAAATCATATGATATTAATGTTTCTTACAAAAGTACAATATGTAACTCGACACAAGTAATTCTAAGAATCAAAATATGTTGTTTTTTTTTTAAGTTTCCAAATCATATGAATTGTGTAATGTAATAAATTGATGAGTTTATGGTTTTTTCGCCAATAAATTATTTCTCTCACTGCCTGTATGTTTAAAATAAAATGGCATGTCCCTAAATAATTTGACAATCGCCCATATGCACGCCAAAAAATTGGTAATATCAAATAAACAAAATTGTAAAGGTTACCTGAGGCGCTGTAGGCGCGATAGCTGTCTGCAGCACTGGCTTCTGCACCTGAGTACTCTTCACGGATTGCATGATGATCGGAGGTTGCGAAATTGTTTGCCGGGCGCCCCACGCTTGTAACGGCGTCGGTCTGGCCATGGAGGCGGCCGAGGCGGTCGTCGTCGATACGGGAATTGGACTAGGCGATGCTGTCGACGCTGATCCTGCAATTGAAAATAATCACTTTTTTCATGACAATCAATCATCGTTTAAATGCAAATGTTTGACATTAGAATAGCGAATGTTCCTCCTAACGAAAATCAAGTAGTTTTCATAGAAGAGCTCTAAAACAACGCATTTTAAACTCATCATTTCAACCGTTCTTTTAATTATTTAAATACTTAAAACAGAGGAATGGCAATTGGCAACATCGGTTATAGCTAATAAAGGACATAACCATCAATAACAAAAACAACTACTATCATTGCTATTTTGAAACATGAAAAATCAAACTTACCAGAGTATATTCCCGAAGAAGGACTCTTCCGGAAATCCTGCGTAGGGCTTTGACGGTTCTGAATAGAGGCCGAGTACGATGGTGGCGGAGGCGGACCGTTAGATGAATTGCTCGATATCAAAGGGTACGGCGGAGGTGGTTCCGACGTCGAGACAGTACTGCTCTGGTACAAACTCAGGGCCTGCATCTGCTGCGAGAGTTGCTGCTGCGCTTGTGGGCCGTTCTGCACTACCATGGGCTGTCTGCCAGACGATGAGGACACACTGCTTACCGGACTAGTGCCTCTCTGAAAATTTTATGAAAAACTCTATATTTTAATTCCGAGATTATATCAACTGCTCTTCTCTAAAGGCCAAAGACCATATAGGCATTGGATGACAGATTGTTTATATAAATCAAGAACAGCAACGAACCAAGTATTGAGCCTTGAGGTACGCCAAAAGAAATTTCACGTTTCACTCTTTGCTAACGTTCAAAATAAGAATAAAATATATTGATTTTCGTCCGACAATCTGACTAGATTTTGTTTTTCTATTCTAAACCTCACCTGTTGCAATGCAGGCGAATTGTAAGCACCGCCCCCGGCCGGCGTCCTCGCCGGCACAACCGGCGCGGTTGCCGGCGACATCCTCTTGAACATCTGCTGCACGTTGGTCGGCACCGCCTGCTGCTGGTAAGAGCCTACTCCGTGCGGCGGTGGCGGCGGCGGAGTATTCCTCGGAGGTGGCGGGGGCGGCGGTTCGCCAAAGCTCGGCGAGTATCGGCTGTGGATGTCGGCGAGACGCGGACTGTCGGAGCGCGAGCTGCCGGCGCCGCTGTCGAGGGCGGGGCTGCAGCGGGGCGGCGGCAGCAGCTCGCGCTCGATGCTCGGCTTGCGGATGAGCTTCGTGTAGCCCGGCGGTTTGATCGAGGGGTTGTCCAGCGAAGGCTTGCCGAGGATGTCGAGGGCCACATCGAGGCGACCGTTGGAGATTTGCAGGGCACGGATTGAGGACTCCTGCGAAACGACATATAGAAAATGAGCAACTAATGGTAAACACCACGATTACAGTGTAATCTACCAATGATATTGAATGTATTCAAAATGACCTGGACAGCTTTTGTACCTACTTTGATACTAATTGTTTAAAAGTTAACGTTAAGAAATGTATCGTGTTGAGATTTTATAGAATAAGGCAGCCTGTCAGTGGAAACTACTCCAATAATAATATAACTCTTCAAACTGTCAAAAGCTTACGCTTTTATTCATGGGTAATGAAGTAATAACTTGACTCTAGGGTTTGTTTGCACATTGATGTAACATTTGGGAATTTCCAGACTTTATTAAGTTTGTGTTGAATTTCATTAAAAAAAAAAGGTCAAATTGATAGCTGACATAGACACGTTTGTTTTTCTAGAGTGAAGCCAAGTACAATTATCAAAATTTGATAACGTAATTTTCATTTCTTGACACCGAACTTTCGTGACTCTAGTGGAGCAATGATATGCTTCGAAACATGGTTCCAAAAAAAAGGTTATTTTGGTGAAATAAAAGTTTCATATTCTGTGAACACGTTTGAAATGATTGAGGGTGATATTTTGCAAGTTTCTATTGCCAGAAGCGAGTTCCTGAAACAGTTGATATTTCAACAGTTTCAACTGTTACAATAGATACATATCTTTTATATCCTCTACTTTAACATATTTTGTACCATGCACCATTTATATTTTTATTTTAAATTCAGTTGGTATGTATTGGATTTTTTTAAGTATGTACTACGCAAGCGTTGTCTACAAGATTATGTCTTATGATAATAAAACATATTATTATTATTATTAAGGTGGTCGTATCTCCGAAACTATACCACAATGCTCATAATTTTAAAGTATAAATGAATAACTATTGGTACAGATATTCAACTCTTGCTGTAAATTAAAAAATAATACTCAAGTTAAAACTAAAAAATATTTACACCACAACCTCTCACCTCAGAATATCCCAACTGTCGCAACTGCATAACCACATCTTTCTCGTTCCCATTCCCACCAGAAGTCGAACTCAAAGAACTCACACCACTCGTTGCCGAAAAATTTGAAATGGTACTGGCTGCGCTGGAACTCATGGCTTCGCTTCCACTTTTTGCGAAAGGTCTGAGCGAGTTCTGGATTTCTTCCATGGCCTTCTGGTGATAGCCCGGGGACCGGGCTGGCGTATTCGGATTCATGTTGAGTTGGACCCGAGGCTGCTGGCCCATACTGGGCCCCACCAATTTGTTCTAGTAACTTACATTCAGACTGCGAGATAATCTAGGACCACAACAGATTCTACGGTTTGAGGCGTCTCTTTGTAACTGAAACAAAGTCGAGACCGTGAAGTTGGTCATATGTTCAGTAAGACAGTTTATATATGTAGTTATAGCATTGATCTTAGAGAAATTATTGAACTGGTCACTTCATTTCCCTGAAAGTTGTCTGCAGGTCCCGATGGAATCCCGCTATTCTCAATTAAAAATTGCATTTTTACCCTGGCCAAATCNAAAGACATTACTTACGGAAAATCCCCTATATGGTATTAATGACTTTTTCCATTCACTCCCGGGACCATAGAGCAAAGATGCCTTTCACGATTGTATGTATGTACTGTATTATTATTTTTATTGCACTGAATCTTCTGAAGATTTTATATTTTACTTTTGGCATATGTTAATTTGATGGTATTTTGTGACATGTTCTAAAGCTGTAGCTTTGTTATGAACCAAATAAAATATTTGAATTTGAGTTTTTCTGCTATAAAAATAACTATAAATATTAATAAAGTGTTAAGTAAATATATAAATGTACACATATACAAACAATATGTTTGTTAAACTGTTTTATTGTACATGGGTAAAACTATGATTGAGTAATTTTTGTATAAATGTATAAATAAAAAACACTACAAAGAGAAAGAAAGAAAAATGTATATATAAACATACATATACAAACATATATACATACATATGTACACATGAATATTATTAGGTGTTGAGGTTATCCTCAAAAAATTCAAATAATAATAATTAATGTCATTTATTGGTGAATACCAAAAGGCCATCGACTGTAGTCCTTCAGCAAACAGTATAGTAAGCCTTTTTGACCAGAGTTGCCTTCAAGTTTCTCCTAAAAGACACATTCTGTTATACTTTTAGGTAAATTGTTATACATTTTCACTCCATTATATATAATTGAGTTCTTGATTTCACTACTTATTGGGATAGGAACCTTTAATTGGCAAGCTTGTCTAGTATTGTGGTGAGGCGGAGAAGTAAAGGTACTTTTGTTCTTGCGTATAAGGTATGTTGATTCAAGAGTAAACAATGAACTCACAGTTGAAATTCCATGCATTTAAAACAATGGCTTACAAAGATCATTACACTTTGCTCCAAGGAGATACTTTATCGCACATTTTTGTAATATGAAAATAGATTGAAACATCGGTTTACTGCATACACCCCAAAATGCTATGCCATACCTTAGGTGAGAGTCTATGAGAACATAATAAACATTTTTTGCTGTGTGAAATCCTAGTTCTTTTGATAATATTCTGAGTGCAAAACACCCCGAGGAAAGTTTCTTGTTTATAATGCCTACATGCTCCTCAAATTCCAGACACTCATGAATTCCCAAGAACTTTGTGGAGATCTTATTTTCTACTAGTGTACTTTCCATATGAATTTCTGATAGATTGCACTTAAAAGTGATTATACTAGTTTTTTTAAATCAAATCAGTTTATTCATTCAAAGGACCCATTAGGGTATAGAACATGTCAGGATATAATGTCTTAGTGCACGTATATAAATATAGTAA